GAGGCCGGCGTAGGGGTAAACCCTGCACGCTCGAAAACCTGAGCCTTGCCGGCGATGGAGCCGCTACGGCTAGGCGGTCGCCTACGAGTCTCCACGGAGTCCTGAGGTTGTTGCCTAGGGTCGGGTCTCTGTGCCGGAGTTGCCCTAGTCGGTGACCTCGGCGTTTCAGAGCGAGGAATCTCCATCTGCACATCTAACCCGAGTTCCTCTGAGCGGGCCGATGTTTTCTGTTTCTCCCCCGAAGGCGTCCTGGGTGCAGGTGTTTCGCTCTTAGCCTTCGGTTGGAGTGGGGGCTTCCTTGCCCCCTTCATATAGATCTGTTGGGACTCCAGCAGCATTTGGCGAGTTGCCTCGCGGGTGCGTTCGTCTGCTATTCGTTTGCGCTCCGCATCTGCTGCGGCTCGCTGAGCCTTCTGTTCATTGTCATCCATCATCTCTGGCTGTTGGGCCTGACTGGAAACGCCAGGCGGGTTTCCCCGCATTCCAGGAAGGCGATTGAGCGCATCTTTCTCTTCCTGGGTCATAAGCACAAGTCCCTTCGGAGGCTGGACCTCCTCGGCCATCGGGCTCCTATGAGCCGTTGTTCCAAGACGACGGTTGATCTCGTCGATCTCTGCTTGAGTCATCGGAACCAACGGTGGATGCCCCTCCTTGGCAGGAGTGCGGCCTCTATTCGGGCTCAAGCCCTCGTTGAGCCCTACAGGACACCCAGGCCTATGCTCCTGGAATGGCTCTGAGCACGGCCCACAGACTGCGTTGGGCCTGTATAGCTTGCGTGCCGCAATGACATTTCGCAGCTGCGTCCGTACTATCTCTATCTCATGACGACGAATGTTCGTCGCGAGCTGGTAGCCACCCCGTATGGACCTGCCTTGGGCATCCCTGTAAGCTGGGTTGCCTTTACCAAAGGCAGAGTGCTCACCCGTTTGACGCCTCGGGTCGTTGTAGGCGAGCAACTGACCCCCTCGTCGAGCGGCATGCTCTGATGGGCCTGCTTGCCTCCATTCGCGTGGAAGCCGTGCTTGAGGGTGAGGGTCGTCCCTAAGGCGTGGATGCGAACGAGACCTCCTGGCATGTTCATCAGATGAGGCCGCCGACGCAACTTGAGCAGGAACCGGCAGGGGTTCCTGCGGGGCCGCAGGCGGAGCATCTTGGGCAGGCAGGTCTCCCTGCTGACTGGAGTCTGGCACAATTGGTTCTTGTGCAGGTGGTGGTGTGTCAGGACGGTCGGGGCTGAAATCCACCTCCTCGTCTTCACCATTGGCTTCCATCATGAGGATGGTGGTCTCGTCCTCGCACGTCCCACATCCGTCACCCTCTTCATCTTCTGACATAGAGTTGCCGATGACGACGGTCATCGGTCCAGCCGGGACGGGCAGGCTTCCCTGCTGTACAAGCGTCTGAGCATCGTCCCGGCGTCGGCGGTACGGTAGTCGGCTCAGGCTCGTTACCGAGCATAGCGTGCGCCTCGGGATGATCAGAGTCATGTGTCGGCTGCCCGATAATATTTCGCACGGCCGTGTGGTTGGGAAGTAATCCCGCCGCCTGGAGACCCCATCCTGGCGGAGGAAGAGCCTGACCACGCATGGAGATGGCCCTTTCAAGAGCTTGGCGCCATCTCCCTCTGGAATACCACGCATGTCGTTGCACGTCCTCAGGGTGCACACTGTCGATGAGAGTAAGGGCCGCCAGCACTAGCTCCGAGTCGTCACAGGCATCGCTTGTAGCATCATGTGGCCACTTTCGACACTCTCTTGACTCTCGGGATATGCTACGACCAATACAGCGTGCATCTGCATGAGGGTCTGCAGTATCGTGTGCGGTCCGTACTCGCCTGGAGCGAGCGAGCCAGGTGGTACGTATGGGTTACCTGGCACGCCCGTAATTGATGCTTGAGATTCTAATTCCATCAGATCGGCATAATTTGGAAGATATACTGGAGTGGGCCTGTTTCCAGGCATAAGGTCGGGTTGATGTCGAAAGTCGTAGTCAACCTCCGAAGGCGAGGTCTCAACAGTGACATCCTCGTCACTGCTCTCGTAGGCCATGATGTTGCCTGGGTTACCGAACATCCAGTCGAAGAAGGATAAGGGCTGGTTTCCCAGCGTACCATTCTCCACAGGCGTAAGCGCGATATTTCCGAGAACAAATCTGCGGAGGTACTCGAGGTAGTACGCGTACAGTCCGTGGCCGTACGCCTCGAGCTCATCCAAGTTGCCCACGCTGCTGGCCCAAGTGAAAAATATCTGTTCCATGGCCTCAACACCTTGGAGGCGCAGATATTCAATAACTGGTTCACTTGAGCCGAAATGGACTTCGGTCGATCTGCCATTTCCATTTCCCTTCGCTGGACAGTCTTTTACAATATGATCGGTACTATCACACCCATGGCATTTTAGGATCTGGCCGTCTCTACCTCGCGGGTTTCCCCGCCTACCTTTACCTTTGCCTGAGGTATCTCTACGGCCTTTACCACGGCCTTTTCCCCCGGAAAATATCTCATCATACTGATCATCTGAGAGCCTCTGGAGGAAAGCCGAGATGCCTCGTCCATTCAACCTGCGGCGACCCCGTTTGCCTTTACCTTTTCCTTTGAAGCTCCTCCGTATCCTCCTCCTAACACGACGCACTGGCTTTCGTGTGAACCTCCTCCACCTCCGCTTTGCCTGTTGTAATAACCAGAACAGGTGTTCGGCACGCTGATTGTCACCTTCCATTTGCATGATATCTGACCAGTCTAAGGGTTCAATACCGTCTGATGTTCCTAGGTAGGTGGATACACCGTCGTTTAGGGGATTCGTTTCCCCCCATAAGGAACGGTGTGGTTGAGGTTCTCTAGGAGGAGGGCTGGTTGCCCAGCTTGGTTGTGATCGATTCCCTGTTAGTAGAGCAGTAGACTCTCCAGGATCGTCGGCCCATATGCTTGCGGGCCCGTTGCCAGGCTGAGCTTCGGTGGTTAAGGTAGTATAGAAATGTCCACTACCAGTTCCCCTTCCCCCCCAAGCACTGATCTTATGTTGCCAGGAGACCGTTCTGACAAATGGCCTATCGAACGCATCCTCTCGCACAACTCATCATGTTGTTGTTGTGTTCGGGGAATTTGGTGGTTAAGTGGCTGCAAGAGTTGCATGGCTCTCTGGCTGCCGACGCCTAGGGCGCGGAATATGATAGCAGTGAGCAGTTGGAAGTTGGGAAGGTCAAACCCCACCGACTGTGCCTCAAGACGGGCCATCTCGAACCGAGTGAGAGTTACATCGATTCGTTCTCCGCGAGGCACATGAAAGTCGATGAGCTGTGTGTCTGAAGTGAGCTGGCGCTCATCTTCCAGGCGTTCGAACTTCATGCTTAAGAGGCACATGATGTAGGTTGCTGGGTCGGTGTAGACACCGTCGATGTCCGCACCGTAGTTTATAATGTCAGGTGGCACCCTCATGGCGAGTGTCCTCGCTAAGCCGCCCAGGCCGCGTTGCATGGCGGCTGCTTGGGCCTGTGGCGTCATGCGTCCGCTTGTGACGTTGAGCCACGCGTTGACCTGATAAACGTACTCGCGGAAAGGTACGTTGCCTTGAGGGTCCCAGTATGGGCCATGTGTTTGCCCATCGGTGCTGTTGTCTCCTCGGCGCATGTGTCCGATTGTTGCCCCCAGCGCAAACCATATGATGGCGAAGATAACCAACCCAAGGCTGTGAAGATATGGGTGGTTATCAGGCGCGTTGCCGCGCTGGGGTAGCGCCTTGTCAAGTCTTCGAGGCGCCTTATCTTGCGGGTCTCCCCGCCTCTGCTTCAAGTGCTGCGCTTTTGGCTCGTTGCCGAGCGGTTGGTAGTAGCGTAGTGATGAAGCGTATATGGTACCAATGTTGTTATCTAGACGTCGTACCTCTCGCGTTGCTTCTTGCTCTTGAATTGATCCTCGTAAATGTAGTTGGAGTGGTGGCGCAGGGTGGTAGTTGGTCACGAAGATCGTGCCGGATAGCGTGAGGATAAGAAGAGCAAGAGCTGACCACACGAGAGTGCGGCCAGCTCCGCTACCAAGTCTGAAGTGACTATGGTAAGTCAAATAGCATCCGATTCCATGGGAAGCGGATGGCAGATAGCGTCCAATGCCATGCTGGGGTACTTCAGTATGGGGAGTGGACGGATCAGATAGGATAAGATCGATGTAGTGATCTTTCCAGCACATAGCGGACACCAGCAGTGTCCGGGCAAATAGGGCGCGCGTGCCTTGAGCCAAAGGCAACGGCGCGCGAGCTATACTCCCGATCCTATAGAACATCTCCCAAAGAGCTACCCTTAAAGTGTGTGGTTCTCCAAATGGGGCTCTCGCCCTGGCGCCGTGCTCACTAGCCTTCAGTGTCAGCAGCAACTGCAGGGACGCAATGGTGCGGGGTCATTCTCAAAGTGAAGGTATAATCCCGGCCAGCTCTTGACTCACGGTCAGACCCAACCCGACCCCAGGGAGCAGATTTCGAGGAGGTTCCCGACGTCGTCGGAAACCTCGGATGCCTGGGCCCCAAGATAGCTTGCACCAGATAGCAGCGACAGTGGACAGAGCAGAGACAGCAGGCAAGGGAGACAAGCGCACATCTTTCCATCGCTGCAATAATGAATACAATGGCGAATCCCCTGGAGGGTGCCGCGGCAAAGGCGACAGTTTCCGCCAGCACCACCTTATCGGGGAGACTGGGCTTATTATGAGTACCTCGATTGCTCCTGCTCCGCCGGCGGCCGGAGAGACAGGGCAAAAGGCACCCAACCCGGAGGGGCCTGTCTCAGTCTCGACCTCTGCCAAAACCGCCGGAGCGCCTTCACTTCGGGGCGAAAGAGCCCCTGCCAGGGATCTCTGTTGCGCAAACTGTCTGTCCTGGCCCTCTTGGGGGGCGTGGCCTTCCTCTGCTTCCGGAGTTCAGCCTTCCGCGCTTCAAGATCAGCGCCTACGCGAAGAAGCTCCTCCAAGACTTCGAACCAGAAGCCGCCGAAAAAAATGAGATCCAACTCGAAGCCGGGTGTCGAAGTCGGCGTAGTCAGCCAGATCGTTGCTCGTGAGCTTGTCGGCCCCCGTGTTCTGCCCCCTCGGGGTCCACGCTAAATCCAGCCACAATCCACGAAGCTCCATCTGGGTCGCAAGCTCCGTGACCATGCAATTCAATGGGAACTTCGTCGAGAGCAGCTTCGCTGCAGCATAAGCATTGCTGCGGTTGTCCGCGCAGGCGCTGGTCACGCTGATGTTGCCGCGGGCTCCTTGGGGGACATCCCTGGCGAAGAGCGCGAGGCAAGCCAGGGTCGCCAAGAGTTCGGACGACGCGATGGTCCGGGAAGGCCGTCCACCTGGAAACAACCATGGTGCGTCGCTGGACGAGATCACGATGGAAAACCATCGGCACTGCGACGGCGCTAGGCTTTTCTTGGCCTCCCAGCCGCCGACGATGACCTTGCCGTCCTGCGCGCTCGCGTCGGCGAAATAGGCGACAGACGAGCTCCCCTGCAAGGGCTTGCGTGACACCGCGCGGCAACCGTTCGCGAACCTGTTCTTCAAGCGGGCAACCGCTAGGTGCACGGCCGGCTGATGCTGCAGATGCGCCGAGGCCGGTGCAGCCTTGACCCAGGCGTAGAGCGGGGCGAGAAACGGACGATGCCACTCAAGGACGCGGGCCGCAAATCCAAGACGCCCCAGCGCTTCACGGAGCTCGCGAATGAGGCTGCCGCCATTCTCGACCGCGCGCGAAAGCCAACCTAAAATCCACCGCGCCCGGGACTCAGAGATACCCAACTCGAATCGCGAGTAGTCGATCCAGTATCCGAGCCATTCTGTGCAGGAGCCACCCTTGACATTCTTCCAAGCGATCGGGGTACTGAGTGCCTCCCAGACGAGGATCACGATGAGGGGGTTCGAGAACTTGCGCGGGCCCTAAACGCCCCAGAAAATGTCGTCGGCGCGCAGGAGCTGCCACAAATATTCCCGAACAGCGAAAGCGGCCGCAGCTCTGCCCAGCATGCCTGCCAACCGCGCCCACCAACGACATGCGCCCCCAACGCCGAAAGCCCCGACTCGATTGGTCCAAAGGCAAGGTCGTCGGAGACGGCGCGCCTGCAGACCCCAGTCCGCCTCTCTGTTGAGGAACCTCCGGCGCGTTTTTTGAACGTCGGCGGCGAGGGCGAAGTGGGCCTCGTGGTTGCCGCCTTCCTCATGACCGTCTTCATCTCGCCCGGACCCGGCATGCGTACCTGGCCCCGCGGCTAGACGGAGTTGTTGAGGTGCACCCCATGCGTTCCGCCATGCGCGACGCGGAACGTAGTTTCGCTCTTCTGGATCGGCCCCAAGGAAGCCACGCGAAGGAGATCACCAGGATAACGGCGACGCAGCTCCTCCTCTGGAGCCTTGAACATCATGCCCAGCTTCTCCTCGTCGGCGAACTGCGCCTCGAGCTCGTCAAGAACAGCAGATGCCGAGCTGTAGTTCCCCTGGTCGGTGGTGTAGTGGCTCTCGTCGAGGGTGCGCCAAGTGAGCTTACGTTCGAATGCGGCTGGTACCCGTGACATCTTGAGTCCCACGCCAATCGGGGCGCCACTTGCGAAGGACATGTGGTTGGACGTAGCCTGCCTCCAATCAGGGTCGCCGACGAAGCGCAGGAAGGCGCCCGAGAGCTCGAGGTGGAACGGTTGGTGCGGCACGACATGTTCGGCCCGGTCACGCGGGAGTCCGACCGCCGTCGCGATGGCAGTGCGTGCGCAACGGAGCTGATCCGCGGAGAAGGTGGAACACTTCCCGTGACCCGTGGCCAACCGGCAGATCAATTTGACGTAGTCCGCAAACTCGAGGACGATGTTGCGCATGCTCGTGACGAGGTCCGGCGTTCGTCTCCTTGCCCGCCCAGGATAACCGATAGACTGGGGACCTGAACTGCACCTGTTCCGGGCCGAGCAGAGGCGAACTGCGATTTCCTCTTCGATGATGGGGAATGTCAATCTTGGGCAGGGACTCGAGAATATATTTCTCTTGATATACCAGCACTCTGTCCTTCTGACACCTCAGCCTTCGGCCGATGTACTCGACTCCCGTCTCATCGATGGGGCGTAGCTTCCCGAAGCGGAATCGTTCCTGGAAGGTCTGGAAGCGCTTCTCCGCGACGGAGGGATGCACGGCCATGCCCAGTCATCTACCTCGACCAGAACCTGACCGCGAAGGTCACCACCTGGAGCTCTCTCGTAAAACCAACAAGGCTCCATCATACTCTTGCGATATCCAATCTTCTGGAAGAATTCTGCTGTGGTACGATGCAATGCCAGGGGGGCATCGTCGAGAACGTAGACTGGTGCCACTAGTTCTATGATGGCTCCTGGCTCTAGGTTCGGCCCCTCGCAGGGCTCTACGAATGCACGTTCTGACTCCCTCTTCAGCTCGTCACTCTGACAAAACGCATTTCTTAGAGGTCCCCGATGAACAACTTGAGATTGTACATCAATGATACTACTAAGAATAACATCAAGGATTCCATCTGTGGCGCGGGGGCGGAGACCTTCAATTCGGCCGCGTCGGCGTCCTCGTGGCCTCGCACACACCAGCGGCTCTTCGCTTTTGGACGAGAGTATGTGCCCTCCTGGGGCCTCCCATCGCCGTACCATTCGACTGGACACAATACGACTGGGGAAGTCTTTCCCGATGACGTGCGCCACGTGCGGGGGGTGCACGCGGACGGCCCCGGACCCAAGAACGGCCTCCCACTCCGACTGGTCGGAGATGTCGAACTCAGCTTTCTCCCGGAGATCCAGCTTTTTCTCCTGAACCTCCTGGCCCTTGGCCGTGGCGAGTGAAATACTGTGCCCCGGGCCCCCCGCACGGACGTCCACGAACACGTCTGCGTTGCCGTTCAAATAGGTTCGCCAATCTCCACTCCATCCACAGAAGGAGAGATGCTCATTCATAGACGCGTAGAATGACTCGTAGAGGTCCTGCTCGTTCTGCTGCTCCTCCTCATGCGATAGCAAGGCCAGGGCATCGGGGGCGTCCTCGTCTACCTCGGCCAAGAGAGTCAAGCCTGCAGTCCTCTCGGGAGTTCGGGACCTGTCTCTAGCGGCCTCCAGGCCCCCGGACACCTCGCCGTCTCGGCCCCGGGGTTCCAGCTCGGACACTTGTTGTCGAACGCGACCGTGCGGGATGCCCCCAAAATCACCCCCCCTGGTGGGTGAACTCCTGGCCATGGGACCCAGATCCATCAGCTGGTTCCGACGCGCGGCTCTCGAGGCGGAGTCCGACAAGGCACGAGGGTCGCGGGTAACCGGGTCCATGGCCACGTCGCCAGCGGTCTCTCGGACGCCCCCGGGGGGGAAAGAAGGGGGGACCGAACCCTCCGGGATCACCCGACCAGAACCCGTGCCCCCGGGATCCTCCCCCGAGACCCCCCTGGACATGGCTCTCCCCGTCGAGGCCACGTCGCTGCTGGGAGCCGCGGTGGGCGGTCCGGGAGGCGAAGGCCCCGGCCGGCACGGCTCGGCGACGCCAGGCCCGCCCTCTCGGGGAGGAGCGGCGGCCCTGGAAGACGTGCTTGGTTCTCTCGGAGATGTACTTATCCCTCGGGCTGAGGTACCTGTCTCTCGGGACGAGGGCCCCGCAGTTCCCGTGTCTCCCGCGGGAGCGTCGCTCCGGGGAGGCGGCGGCAGGGGCGCCATGCCGCCCGCGCTCTCCCGGTCGATCAGGGGACTTGACCAACCCTCGTCGGGGGGGCCCCCCTCGCTGGACACGTCCACCCCTGCTCGGTGGTGTCCGTTCTGGGCCTCTCGGATCAGTTCCCTGATAGCTTGGTCAAAGAGAACCTCGGCGCCCCAGGACTCAGCGGAGGTCGCTTCCCGAACCTGCTCGGAGGAGCACTTCCAGAGACGGGGCCGCATTGCGATCCAGACGGTATTCTGAGCCTGAAGAATAACGACCCCTGGTCCCACCCATCTGTCTCGCTGAAGAGCCAGACTCTTACGACCTGACTTGGCGGCCCGGCGCCACACGTAGACCCACTGCCCAGGCGCGAACGTCCTGTCCTTGTGCGTGCGCCCTCGGACGGCATCTTGAAACCTTCTCTTACTCGAAACCCGAAAGAGCTCTCCTCGGGCATACTCCCGGATGGACGCCTCCCTAGCGAAATCGGCCGCGGCCGCGTCGCAGCCCCGGGAAGTCTCAAGAAGGTCCGAGGAACCTACAGTGGACACGGCATCGTCTGACAGCATACGGGGATTCTGGCCCAGGACCAGCTGGTACGGCGTGAATCCGCCTCGATGCAAGTACTTGTCTTTAGAACTGACAATGCCGTGCATTAACAGCTCTAAGTCCTGGACGGACGACACGACCTGATCCCCCATGCCCTTTCAAGAGTAAGTCCTTTACCCACCCACCGTGTGTCTCGGCGGGCCCATTCTCCCATGGGCTGTCGCTGTTGACAACGTGCTGTAGGATGCCGTAGTGTTCTACGCCACGTTCAACTTCCGCTTGAAATTCTGGTCCCCCGTCGCATAATATCATGTCCGGGGGTCCGAAATATCTCAACCAGGAAGACAGAAACGCATTCCAACAAACTTTAGCTCCTCCGGTGTAAAGCGCAACGACTTGAAAGTTCGTGCCGTGGCACACGATGCTTAAGAACGCGACCTGCTGTTCCTGTATGTTCACGAAAAACGTGTCTATCCCCAGGACCCGGTTAAACTGGAAGGTGCGCGGCATAGCCACTCGACGTCTCTCTGGTGGCCTGCGCTGGGCCTCACAGGCGTCACACTTAAAGTGATTTCGAACAAACTCCAGAATTTCCGGCTTCGACTGGGCCGCACGCAGGACTTTTATAAACTGATATGTCTGGAAGTGTCCTAGGTTGACGCGCAGCTTGTGCACCATGGCCCTGACTCGGGCCGTGATCTCCATCGGTGGAGAGGGCTCAGGCTCGGGCGCGTCGCCCGTGTCCACGTCCATGTCGTCTTCCTCTGGGACTTCCGCTCCTTCCTCGGCTGGCTGCTGCTGCCCCCCATCTTCGCCCATGTCCTGAGGCCCCGATCCTGTCGGAAACGACGGGCCGGGACACCCCTCGGCGACGCGCGACGCATCGCCGCAGCATCGATCAACCCGAAGGGAAAACCTGCGCTTTCGCCCGGCCCCCGGAGGCCTACCGGCGGCCTCAAGAGACGGAGGAGGGGAGGGGGGTGGTGATGATGATGGCGATAGACGGGGCCCAAACTGCTCCAGACCGGGGGGGGGAGTCACCGGGTGAATGCCGATGACATCGGCGCACGAAAGACGAGCCGAGGCTGACATGCCCGCCTCGACAAGACCAAGGTTCGACCGTGTGCCACCTCCCGCTTCAGTACTAGGCCGAACCTGTGTCTCGGGAGGACCTCCCCCGCACTGTTCTCTGAGACGATCCCTCTCTCCGGCCGGCCGCCGGCGGAAGCGCGCGCAGGCGGCGCGAGCCCCCGCGCTTCGTCGGCAACCTCGCGCGGGCGAGGCTCGCGCAAGAGAGAAGGAACAGACGCGATCTCCGCCAGAGGTACGCTGTCGTCCTGCCGAGCCGTCCGGACGCTCCGGGACACCGCAGGAGCCGGCCTCTCTGCCAGCTTGGGGGGGGTGCACCTGAGAGGCGGAGGTGAGCTGTCTCCCCTCGAGAGGCACGTGTGGATGCCCCCCCTGGCACTCGCATCCCTGGAAAGTCTTCCATATCTCGATGCAGTTCGTTAACAGGCCCGTCGGCTTTCGAGAAACCCCGAGGGGGGGGGGCCTGCGCCCCGAACCTGCATTGGTCGATCAACGTGTAAAAGACCCCCTCCATTTTAAGGAGCTTCTGCAACGCCCGGGTGGCCCAGGACCGGGAGGCGCGGGGGTGCTCGAAAATAAACTTTCTGCCTGCCGAGATCTGCCCCATGGCCACTTCCACCGCGAACCTAAGAAACACCAACCCCTGCAGGCGCGTACGCAACGCGGTCTCAGCGTCGACCCGGTCTCGCCCGATGTCCAGGATCCTGGAAAACGCTCTACAGGGGGGTTCCACCATCACCGCCCAGGGCTCGCGATGATCGATCCAGTTCAAAGCTCGCATCTGATGCTCTCTCTTCGAAAAGTCCCACCCCGTCTCAAGGCCCCAACTTCCCAAGTGAACGACCCCGTGTCTCCGTAAACAGGGCCCGACCGGCTCCGGAGAGAAGATTTCCAGAAAGCCCTCGGGGCCCTTACCTTTCCTACTTGGGGTCGCTTTCGTGCCTCGGGATCGGGGTTTGCTAATAGGGGAGGCTTTGGCAACAAAGTTCCTGGGCGCGGTGACCTCGTTAACTATCGTCGTCCAAGACGCTCTCCTCCATAAAAGACTCGAAGGGAGGCTGCTGGAACAGCGCCCAGCGTGCATTATCTAGGCCGTCTCCGGTAGAGATCACCTGCAGAGTCATGACCGACACTCTCTGATGACCTGGAGATAGCCCTGGACGAAGGAGAAAACACCGCAAAGGTCTGCCCGTCTGGAGCGGTCTTCGCTCTGCTGGCGAGTAAGATCTCTGTTTCTTCCGGAAGGCTCTGAAATTTCACCAGCAGGCCAGCCTTCACATTCAGCGCTGCGGGCTGCTCGGCGTCTCCGGGGACGGTCCGACGACCTCCCTCTGGCGCCGTTGGATCGGAGAGCCCGGGGCCGCACCTGACGCTGAGGAGCTCGCCGTCGACAGGCGCTGCAAGACCTGGCTCTGGTCGTTCATCATGGGCAACATCTGCGCCATGTCCTGGCCCTGCTGCACCACGATTGAGCGCAGCTGCTCTTGAGACTCCTTCAGCTGCTGGACCTGGGAGGGTGTTGAGGACGAGCCGCTCTCGCACGCGCGGCGCCTCGACGCCGGTGGAGGCCCCGTCCTCGTCGCCTTCGATAGCTCCGTCGCGTCGACCGGGACCATCTCCTCGTCCGCGGGGTCTGGCCTCATCGCGCCGCCCTGACCAATCATCCTGTTGGCGCGGATGTTGCGGTAGGCCATGGGGGTCTCCGAGCGGCGCCCCTTCTGACGATTGTTCAGCATCGGGGCCAGGTAGTCGTACGTCTCCTCGCGAGGGCTCGCGATGCGAGGCCCTTTGCTGTCGTGATAGCCCATCCTCAGGGAACACTGAGTGCAGTTCCACCAGTGTCCGTGGCCGTTGCTGTCGAACTTCAGCACCGAGATCGGATGGGCGCAGTTCATCTGGAACACGTCTAGCCTCTTCAAGTGCTTGAGGGCGCGCTTGGTCCACAGGCGATCTTTCACCAAGCAGCGCAGAAACTCCTTCGACTTCACCGCGGCCACAAGGAGGGTAAGCACGATCAGCTCCGTCCAGTTGGTCACGGCCTTGGGCTGCTGGGCCTCCTGGTCCGCTGTCGCCTCCGCCTCTGGCGCGGTGGCCGCCATCGCGGTCTGATCGCAGAGGTCGAGGGAGAGGCTTCTCACAGGTTGCTCGCACAAGCTCCTGAGGGTCATCGGAAGTTATGACGATGTCGGCATGGCCCGCCCAATGGGAACCCTGGAGTCCCTCGGAGAGCTGGCTCTGCCAGTCGCCCCCCGCGTGGAAGCCGTTCCCCGAGGCATCCGTAACCCGCGTAGAGCGTGCCGAGCCCAGAGATCCCAGAGGAACCGGAAGATCTGAATAGCTCTGAGGAGACCACAGACATGTCCGGGGAACCAGATGAACACGCCTATAAGAACGTTTCCCAAAAGCACATAGTAATCCGCTCTGTCCTTCTTCCAGTCTTTGTCGTTACTGTCGTCATCGTCTCGGGTAGCGTCGTCGTCGCGGTTCGGAATAGGACGAAAAACGGAAGGGGAAGAGGACTGCGGGGAGGGAGAGGGAACGCGAGCCTCGTGCAACTCTAAAGAAAAAGGGCTCCTCGAGGCCCGACCCTGTGCCCCCCGAGTCCCTAGAGGGGCCCTGAGGAGTTTGCGGGGCCTGGAGGAGATGAGCGGAGGTGAAGACCATGTAGCCCTCGCTCTCGCTGACTCGGAAGCTGTCAGCGTTCAGTTTAAGGTATTCTACAAGGAGCTCAGCTGGGCACTCGAACTGGTCCGGAGGGACCATCTTGTTTACATACAGATACCTATGACCCGAAGGCAGGCGAGTCAGGTCTGTCGAGCACCACAATTTCTCGAAAAAAGACACGGCCCTCAGGAAGGCCCATGCTGGCCCCGAGGACGTCCTGGAGCGAGATCGGCATGAGGGGGGGATGTCCGCGTCCATCACGTCGAGCTCCAGCACGCCCATGCACTGTTCGATGCCCGTCGGGACGAGCACACTGTGCAGGATCTCCACTGAGCCGCCGATGCCCCTAGCATTCCGATGCCGGGGGGGAACCTTGACCGACCTGTGGCCCTTCTGTCTCAGGTCCCGGTCCCACGCGATGAAGGCGCCCTGGCCCACCAGGCCCTGTCTGGCCGCCGCGTCCACGATCATGGTGCCGGGAGGAGCCTTCAAGCGTCCAGCCGCTAGCTGCATCGGCGTGCCCGAGGCCCCTCCTCCGGCGTGGTCCCGAGCCTTGTCTATCCAGTCCTTGCCCTCCTGCAGCGTGATGGAGACCGCGCCGCAGTCGCCACCGCCGTTGTTCAGGAAGATGAACGCGGACGGCGAGGAAGGCTTCGGCGCGGAAGAGATCGGGCACTCATCGCCCCAGTGCCCCTTCTGCTTGCACTTCCGGCAGCGCGTCCTTTTGATCACCTCCGAGATCGGGAGACGAGTTTGCGATCTCGCACCTGACCCCTCTGGCTCCGGCGTTTGCCATCGCCCCGGCCCGACGTGGCAGGCCGCTTGTCAGGAGCTCCTGGTATCGGAGGAGGACGCTGAAAATACTTACGGTCGACCTTCAGCTGCCGCTTGTAGTCCTTGTTCTGCGTCCACGTCTTTCTTCGCTCCGCCTGGAGCTGAGCGAGGATCTCCGGCACCTCCTCCTCCCGCAGGTACTTGTCATCGATGGCGTTCAGCAGCGTCATCTCGTCGTCGGCGTTCATCGAGCTCACGTCGCTGAACTCCAACATCGCGTCCCCGATGTGGTTGAACTCGCTGGGCCTCTGGCCCTCGAAAGAATGCTGAAGCCCCGCGGTCGCCAGCGTCGTCTTGGCCCTGGCGGAACTCAGCGTCTCCTTTTTGGTCACGTCTAGGTCACGGAGAGCTCGCGCCGTCGAGTCGTGCGTCTTCACGTCCCGTGTGAGAGACCTGACCAGCTGGGCTCCCTGGATGTCGAGGGCCGCGCCCTCCCCCAGGAACATGCGCTTCCATTCGTCTGGGAGCGGGAGCCCCTGGCCCGACAGCTTGTCAAACTGCACGTCCATTCTCGCCGTGTAATCACACAGCGATTCCGAGGTCTGCCGATGAAACTGAAGGAGACACTCCCTCGCAGCCTTTCTCTGTTCGCCCCCCTGGCGTTCTCCAGACAAAATGTCGAGGCGGCCCAGGATTGCGGCTACGCCGCCTTCGCTCTCTAACACATCGTCCTTCAAGTGCTCTAGCTTGCGCTGCAACTCGATCGGGAGCTGCCGCATCACTCGATCCGCTCTTTTCCTCTCCGACACGTCTGTGTTATTCTGCCATCTCTGAATCTTTCGCTTCCATATGTTGTAGTCTGACCAGGACATCCAGGCCTCAGGATCCGAGTAGTCGTTCTTGCGGTTGTCGCTGGACCACCAAGACACTCCTGAGTTCTCGGCGCGCGAGTCACTGGACCACCACGCGCCTGAGCCCCAGTCGCCGGCGCCGTTCCAATCCTTGCTGGACCAGCCGCCGGACCACTCCTTGTCTCTCCTCGAAGCCCACTTGTCCGAGTCCACGTCCTGGCCTCCTGGGCGGCCGCGGCCGCCCTCTCGACGTCCCTTCGCCCAAGGGTCGTCCTGCTGCCACCCGTCGTCGTCGTCGCCGCCCTTCTGCTCGGCGCCCTCCCGTCGGGCCTCCGGAGCCGCCTCAGTACTTCGCCGGTCGGCTTCGAAACTCGAAGCCTGCCCCTTCCAGCCGTGCTTGCTCCAGTCGCCCGCGCTCCAGCCATGGGCCTCCCGCGACCGGGACGCCCACCTCGCCATCTCCGTGAATACGGCCCTGACGACGCTCTTCAGCTCGCGCATGTCCATCCTGCGCGCCTCTGCCTGACCACTTGGCGCAGCCCCCGCCGCGCCATCCGACGCCCTTCCACTCGAGCGTCCAACCTCCTCGAAGTCCGCGTCTGTCCTGTTGTCTCCGCCACGCGCATCCTGAGAATCTTCGGAGTGCGCAGATGATGTCATGAAGCCGGCCGCCGCTGCCTCGCAGACGGCCAATCGGCTCCGCTACCACTGTGCGGTAAACCATTCTCAAAGGCACGCCATGACGGAGCGGACGATACGATTTTTCCTGCGGGAGGCCGGACAACTCATATCAGTGAAACGGCTTGAGCCAAAGATGCATACGGACGGAGAGACCTTAAGCTCATGGGACACATTCCACAAATTGACATCGTGCAGTCGTGGAGTGGCCGCACTTTCCCAGCCCACTTCGATGTCAAAGGAGGTGGCGTATTCTTCAGGACATCCTCGAGCCTCACCCTCTTGTGCCCATCTTCGTTTCCGCTGCTCGTGTCGTCGCCCCGGTCGCCGGCCCGCGGGAAGCCCAGCATGGCCAGACGGTCGACCAGGTGCGGCGGAACCGTGGCCATGCCAGGAGAGAGTGTCGCGAGAACCAGACAGCGACGCCCCTCGAATGGCAGCGATCGGTGCTGCAATCCGCCGTCGAATAGCACGGCCCTGCACTGGAGGTCGAATTGAGGTCGACCTCGAACTTCGAGTTGGCCTCCTTCGTAGTGCCCGAAACCAAATGCACGAATCGCGCCAGCACCGTCGCCCGAGTGCCAGTCCGCAGAGGTCCCGAGGTTCAGCTGGAGGGTGGACCACAGGAAACGACAGCCGAGCCTCTCGACGGCCTTCCGCACGAGCGAGTTCAGCGCCGCGGCAAGATTCGGGTCCATGTCGGTGCCGTCGTAGACGATGAGCTCGTCGCCCGATCCTCTGATAAGCCCCAGCTTGATGGCCTTGCCCCCCTCCTGGAAGCCGAAATGGGTATCTGGGGTGAGGCGCGCCACAATGGATGTGATGTCGTCAGAGTGCTTCTGCGGCAGGGGCACGGGCCCGCGCGCGAAGCCCAGAGGAGATGTCCGGCAAGATACGGCAGACGTGCAGTCGTTCCTGTCGTCGATGTCGACGGCCTCCTTGGGCGTCCCCTCGGGGTCCCTGGCGCGGTCGATGTAGTCGTCCTCGCCAATGGCGCGGCCAGCAGCGCCGCGTACAGAACGAGTTGCATCCAGCACAGGAAGCGGTTTGGGCAGCGCTGGTGGAGATTTACGCCCCGAAGGGCGATGCCCTGGGCCGCTCAACATAATCTTGGACAAGAACCTGCAAACGTCGATGGGGTAGTCGGCCGTGCGCCTCGTGCCGCAGATGATGGACGTCGTGTGCCGGTGCCCGCAGGAGGCAGGAAGTGGCCCTCGGTGCACCCGTTCGTCGTCGAACGAAGGCCACCCGATAAACGCGGCGTCGATCAATGCGGCCGCCGTGCTCAGCAAGCAAGTCGGTTTGGGGAAATCGACGGCGCACTGGCCAATGAACTCAGGGTCGCACTGGTAGAAAGCAGCGGTTGCGGCGGACGTGGCCTGGCTCAGGGCGCGTATTTTTGGCAAGCTCCAGACGGGCGCCGGCATATGGCCGTTCGTGGTGCGACCGAAGTCCTCAGGGTGGTGGAACGTGAACGTGGCCAGGTGGGCGTGGAGGGCGCAGCATGCCTGAATGGACAAGTCGATGAACATGTTACCCCCATCGGCTTCAGCGCGTGCGCGCCCCTCCAGCCATGGGAAGCCTCGAAGATGATCATGATTTCGCACGGGCTTCGGCCCGCCTGGGTTGAAGCGCGCCCGGAACCAGGACGCGCTGGGAGTTCTTGCCCTGGAAGTCATCGGTGATGAGGGCGTGCTTCGGGCCCAGGTGCTTGTCGTAGCGGTCGACCGTGGCGTCGTCAAAACCAGCGGCACTGCAGAGACATCGAAGCCAACGGCCTATGTCACCCTCGCGTGCCGACCCGGAGAAGAGGTAGAGCACTCGGAATGTCTTCCCGAATTTGGTGAGTGATGGCTCCCATACACTTTGCTTCCCCCACCCGGCGAGGGAGCCGCGCCGGGCGTCTGGGGCCCGAGTCAATGCGGGTGCTCGCACGCTGGGCCGGCATGAGTGCAGCCTTTGACCTTGCAGCAGTCGACGCGGCGGCAACCTCCTGAACAAGTGCTCGTGTTGCATTTCTAGCAGATATCGCGGCCGTCGGGCGTCCGCGCGACTAGCTGGAGGTTCGGGTCGATCCTCTTCCGATTTGGGTCCATACCTTTGCCTTTCTTGCCTTTGTCTTTACCTTTCTCTCCTGGCCCGAAGTCCTCCATCCTCAGCTTCTTCTCCTCTCTCCTCTGCTCTGCCTTTTGGAAGGATGAGCCCGAAGCGGCTCTGGCGGCGCCGAGCGCGAGGCAGACGCCCCCGTGTGCACGCCCTTGTTGGAGACGGTGAGGAGGTGACGAAGTGGAGGCTACGCAAGCTGGAGTCAGCGACGACGTGGTCGAGCGCCTTCGACAAGGCGTGGCCTTGGTCGCGCACGAGCTTCAAGGCCTCGACGCGGAGCCGGTGCTCGAAGGACAAGACCAAAGACCAAGAGGGAACCTCGCGGTCAGGCTCATCGACGAAGGTCTTGAAGATCTTCTTGCCCAAGATGTAGTCGACGAAGCGCTCGAAAGGTCCAAAAGTAGTCCCTTCCAGCCAAGGCTTATTCATAAACCTGGCCGAGAGCATGAGCCAGAGGTGCAGATCCATCCGCATCCGCTTGCGGTAAGCCTCCAGGTCGTTCGGGACGTCGATCTTGAGTTTCTGCCTGATCGTCCGGAAGGTTCCTGACTGGTCCGGCGCGACAGTCGGGTCCACCTCATCGGAATGCTCGAGATGTGCGATTTCGTCCAAGGGGGATGCCTTAGGCTCATTCTGCTCGACCTCGTCGACCTTGGCAGTCAGGTCATGGGCTCTAAGGATCTCGTCGTCTGAAAGTTTGCTTGATTTTGGGATGGCCCTCCGCATCAAAGCCCGCTCGTTCATAGGGAGGATCTGAGACGCTGGCCTGCGCCTTGGTTTCGATCTCCTTGATAGCCGTAACCTTCGCGATGCTCCAGATGTCGACGAGGATCGTGAGTGCCAGCCGCTGCTCCTGGCCAGCGTCGGGGTCGAGGTTCAAGATGCTCTTGATGGCGGAGCGGGCGCTGGCATGGGTGTCTTCCAAGGAGGCGACGCGACGAACCGTCTTGCACCCTGCCTTCATCAGCTGATATTGGCACTTCAAGTCCAACTCGACGTCGTCCATGATGAAGGCGAGGCCGGGGGCGACGTTCGAGGCGAGGTAACTCCTCATCTCGCTGGGGTCCATTACGGCCAGAGCGGGTACCTACAGGACAGCGGGAAAAAGGGGATTGCCGCGGGGTGGGAGGGAAATGAAGAGCCCTCGAGCTGACGCGGCCGCGGGGGATAATCTCCTTTTCCCCTCCCCTGGACGACGCGACGTGTCGCCCCCAGCGCATGCCTGTTCGGCCGTGCCCCGAAGGGTCCCGGGCAACGCTGGGGTGACGAGGAAACCGAAGGGCCCTCCTGCTGAAGCGGCCGCTGCCTCGTGACAGCCACTGCCAGAGACCCGTCGGGGCGGGCAAACTGACTTAACAGTTTTAACGCCGGCAGGGCCCGCTGCCCCGTGCAAGGATAGGCACGGGGAGGGCGATTGCCCCGGACTCGGAAGATACGAATGCGAAGGAATTCGTATCACCCGGGGCGTCCGACATTGGACCTCCGGAGGTCCCCGGGACAATCCGGAGGCCCCCGGGAAAACTCTCGGCGGGGCGCAGCCGACGCAAGGGGGGGCGGACAACGAGGCAAAAACCCAACCATAATCCGCCTGCCCAGAGACGCACCAGCAGGCGCGCCAAGCACGGCGTTTCCGGCGAAGGGGAAAAACGCGGCGATGGCGTCATAGACGAGACCTTGCGACCGCATCCGGCCTACCTGGAGACGCACTCGCAAGCGTGCCAGGCACGGCGATTGCGGCAAGGGGCAAGACGCGACGATGGCGCCATAGACGCGATCATGCGACTGCGAACGGCCTACCAGGAGACGCACCAATGAGTGCGCCAGGCTTGGCGTTTCTGGCGGGGGGCAAGACGCGCAGCGATGGCGCGAGAGCCGACGCCACAGCCGTATTCCGCCAACACGGAGATGCACCCAAAGTGGCGCCAGGCGCGGCGTTGCTGGTGCATGGCAAGACGCGCGACCACGACGCAAGTGACGATGCTCGCTGGCCGCGCGCCCGGAGAGCCTCGTCACGAAGGCCGGGCTGCGCGCGGCAGACAGGAGGGACCATTTTGAGTGAATTGTTTTTCCGAAACATGGTGGGCAGATTGTGCCTACGGGCGCGGGCCAGGAGACACGCGCGACAGCGTGCCAGGGCCGGGCAGCCGCAGGACGACGGCGGCAGCTGGCCCAGGTAACTCCGACGCCCGTCCTATCCACAAGGCTCGGTTCGCGAGGATGTGGAGGTACCCGAAGAGGACGAAGATGCTGTAGAATCGGAGGCGCGCCCGCCCTGGATGTCCCGCGCGGCCTTGGCGATCCGCCGATCCGGTGGAAAACAGAGACGACACCGGGCGTGCAAAAACCAAGTGCTCGCGCGTCTGGTGCAACTCGTCCAGGTCCTGAGGTTTATGCCAGCAGACATCAAATTTGTGTAAACGTCGGTGCTGCACCCGCTTGGTAAGACACCCAATACTTGGGGTCGCCAGATGTCTGACCGCCCATGTCAGCAACGATGCGTGCGACCCCCTCTCTAGGCGAAGTGGGCTGAGGCACTTGAGGCACCTGATGGGGCTCAGCGCGTTGTTGGACTCCGTCGTCTGCCGGCGGATACAATCCAGAAGTTACCCCATGACGGGCAAGCATTTCGATGAGCTTGTCGACGTCGCTGGTGATCATGCCCCACTGCACGAGGAACTTGCGCACAGAGTCGCGAACATCGGATTTGTCGATGCACAGGGGGCCCCTGAGAGCTACAGCAACCCTGGCTTGAATCTCCATGACGATCTGCCTCGCCGTCCGGACGTAATCGTCGCTCTGGTTGCCGGCCCGCCAGCGCCCCAGGTAGTCGCGGTCATCCTTCTTGACCCCCAGGGCGGCGGCGATCGAGACGAGGAAAATCCTCTCCGAGTGCTCGGACCAAAAGGCTGCCGCATCGGCAACCGGAACAAGCGAATCCCTTTCAGAGCACAGGATATCGTATAGCACGGCGCGCCCGGAGGCTGCATGGTCCATGTACTTCGCCATGGAGTGCACGAACCCCCGATAATCCTGGGTCGCCTTCGGGATAAGATAGTCGCGATCGGAACAGAGGCGGCCCTTCAGGAACTCAAAACCAGTTTGCAACCAAACGGGTTCAGCGACGTCTGCGTTCAACGATACGAAGAAAGAAACGTGCTGCAAACGGCGCCCGGGCCCTGTGGTCTTCGTGCGTTGCAGGGTGCCCTCAAGACCACTGGCTGTAAACCGCAGCGTCCCCGGGGAGAGGCCCTCCGTATAGTTGCTGCGCAGCGCCGCCCAGACCTTCACGAGGCGAGTCCAAGCAATGAAGCGTTTGAAGAGGGGATAGCCGTCGCACACGACCAGGCGCTCCATGCCGATGACCATGCTGATGAAGAAGCGTGGCGCCTGACGCGCTGGCGGGGCCCCAGGCTGCAGGCGAAACTCAGCATCCCGCACTGCAGCTAACCACGCTGGGTGCAACGACAGACGATCGGCATCTGGTACGGCACCGACAATCTCGGTTAATGAGAAAGCAGCAGCAATCTGCGTTGGGGCTGTCTTTGGGGCGTCCTGTTCGGTGAACTCGATCAAGTAGTCGATGAGCTGTGCCGGCGCAGACGGCACGGGTCTCCCCAAAACTTGCTGGAACCAAATCCTCATTCGCTGCCATCTCTGGAGCCTGATACGTATCGTGGCCGCCCTGCGTCCTCCGGCTGCCGTCCGCAAGAGGGCCTCGGGGTTCGCGGACTGCGTGGACTGCCGGACGAGCGGGTGAGAAGCAGGATCTCCTTCGCGAGGCGGCCCTGCTGTCTCTCACGCTCTCTCGTCTCCAACTCCAGCCTGTGCTTCGGCCCCTTCGCGTCCGCAAGAGCGGCCTTATAACGTGTCGGCCACCCCCCCCGACTCAGGGACAAACGCCGATGCAATATACTCCTATACCTGTTCAGCAGCTACCCTCTCAAAGTGTCGGATCCGCATCTCGAGCGGGCTCACAATAGCAAGCCTGGAACGCTCGTGATCGAAAACCCGGGCGTGACAGATGCAAGCGTCGTGGATGACCGCTCCAGCGTCGCTGATGTCCTGCCCCACGTAGCCCTGGGAGCGGAGAAGGTCAATGCAACCGACGTGACTGGTGTCCTGCAACTCCAGGGCTAGATGTCGGAGGAGGCGGTATCCAGCATCATGCAGAACACGGCACGCCTCTGCAGCAGCAGGGGAGTCATCTGCAACATCAAGCAAGCGGCGCCCGGATATCAGGCGCGGGGGGAGAGAGTCGCAAGAATGTGCACTGCGCGCCCCACATGAGACAGAAGAAACGGCTGCGGAGACACAGTCGTTTGCCTAAGATTACACCTGTGGTGCCAGCTACGCAAGCACAACCGGCATCGCACCATCGCCGCGCACATTCGCTTAGAAACTAGGAGCAACATTACAAGTTAGAAACATGCATTTCCATTCATGTCTAACATGGGGCTCTTGACTTATTGCGGCCGCACTCGTCTTAAAGGCTTACGTCAGCTGCAAGGGTAAAGGGCTGCTCATGTTCAAAATGGGGATATCGCTGGAGCCTTCCTTGAACATAGCAGGTGCACGCATGGAGGGCGGTTCTTTCCAGAATGGGTCTCCCTGTTGAGACTTGCTCGAAGATCGTGATCATGAGCGTAAACAAGTGAAACAATTACTCACGTGGGACTGGTCCTGTCCGTTTTCAAAACGGGAATCTCGCTGGACACCTCGACGCATTCTCGCAGTCGTTATCACTCGCTAGAAAGATGCAACACAATTCCCTTTCAGAGCGGGGCTCTTGCCTGCGTGGCGGGCATTGGGGGGGCTGTTATTGCATGGGGCGCTTCATGTAGTGAAAAAGAACGGTTGTAGGGACCTGTGAGGATGGGACTTTGGATGGGAAGGTTTATTGCATCTGGGGTTCACTCTGAATCTCCTCCTCCTCCCCCTCGCTATCGTTCTCCTCTACTTTGAATTCCCTCCTTACTCGTATCCTGCCCCTCCTTCTGCACCTCTTCATTTAGGCGCTCCTGTTAGACATGATCCTACTCCTCCTGCTTATCCTCCTCTCTTCCTCCTGCTCCTCGTCGCCAGAATCGCCGTCGTCGTCCTCCTCCTCATCATTTTCTCTATTATCCTCTTCCTTCCTGTGCCAAACGTCGTAATGTGAGCAAGGACACATGCATATCGATTGGAGCTGTAGTCCTCGTAACAGTAGTAGCGGCCGTTGGAGGAATGGGTGCGAGAATAAACATGTGAGATTGAGCGAAATCGGAATGAGCGCGGGAGCAGGAGGGGGAAGCGGATGGGAGTGGAGAGAGATTATAAGTCTGAGTGCGTGGGAGTGGTGGAGAGTCCTCGTGGGGATGCGATTCGGAGTACGAGGGGTCTAAGAAGGAGCCAAGTTAGGGAGGTCGAACCTCCAATCACATAAGAACAAATGGTGCAACAACCAGAAATTGGACTAACTCGCGTCCGCCCCCAAACAGTCGGAATGCGCTCGCGCGCGGCCCCGCTTCTGACCACTTGGCGAAGGGCGAAAAACACAGAGCCACGCACGGGCGTGGCCAGAATTGCAAGAAACTCCTTGCGCGGCACTGCGGCGAGAACGCCATTCGGCCCTCGCTCGCGCGATCAAATTTCCGATGAGCGCGGCGAAGCAGAACTGCCACGTTCACACAAAATGTGCGCGGCGCTTAGGCGAGAACAATCGCCCGCTCTCGCGCGACCCTGTTACTGCTTCCGTTTTCCCGCGACGCGGCGACTTGAAAACATGCACCGCGCCAGATCGGGAACGCCACTGTTGGGCGCAATCTTCACAGGCCTTGTGCGATGACGGGAATATCGCCCACTCGCGCGCGGCCCTGCTGTCGACAAATTGGCGAGGGACAAATGTGCGCTGCGCCTTAGCGGGAGTTCAGTTCTCAGGAAACATGAGCGCGGCGCCGAAGCTAGAGCGCCGTTTCGCCCTTCCTCCTCCTCCTCCTCCTCCTCCTCCTCCTCCTCCCTCCTCCTCCTCCTTCTCCTCCTCCTCCTCCTCCTCCTCCTCATATTCCTCTTCCGAATGGGGCCGTATTGGCAAACTCGGGCTGCCTTGGGTGCCCTGACGCCTTTTCGGGCCCGCGCGGCAGGTTGTCGCCCTGATGGTGTGAGTGTGTGTGTATGTATGTGTGTGTGTGTGTGCGTGTGCGTGTGCGTGTGCGTGCGCGTGCGCGTGCGTGTGCGTGCGTGTGCGTGCGTGTGCGTGGGTGTAGGTGTGTGTGTGTGTGTGTGTGGTGGGGGGGGGTCCCTGTGGCCTGGGTTTCGCGCGTATGCTTGACATGCGCACATGGATTTTACTGCTCCTCCAGCCGCCACTCCTCCTGCTACTCCTCCTGCATTGTCACTCTCCTGGTCCTCCTCTTCTCAACAATGATTTCGAGCGTCTAGCCCCCCTGAGCCTGAAGGCTCCGCTGGACGCCCCGTCCTGAAGGGCCGTCGGGTGAACCTCCCCCAGCGCGAAACCGGAGATCGGGAACGACACCTCGGACAACCAGAAAGTCTGGGGCCCAGGGGGGGCTGGGTGCAAGCAGACGCTCTTGCTGCAATCTCCTCATCCTCGGGAGAGCCTGGAAGGATTGGGGCAACCTGGCGAAGGGCATGTGTCAGAGATTGAATGCCCGGCGGTGGGAAGCTGCCCTGCCTGGCTCATCCCCCCTTTCTCCTCCTCCTCCTCCTACTCCTCCTGAGGTGCGCCCTCCTCCTCCATACGTCTCTCTCTCTCTCTCTGTGGGGGTTCTGCCCACCCCCCGCCCTGGACCGTGTGGGCCGTGTGGGCCGTCTATTCGGGAACATATGTGCTGCCGTACCCCGGCTTTCAGTCGGCCGACCACCAAGGCTCTGCTGTGGTTCCAGCCGGTGCACCTGCTGGACGTCGAATTGATCGGTGGAGGGCTGCATAGGGTCACGACGAACACGTTGTAGGTCGGGATGAGGACGGGCACTTTCACCGGGAAGGCGAGCCTGTACGCTCCAATGGCAAGGTTCTCGCACGCCTCCTCATCAAGGAGAATACTCAACCGGTCGGGCTGCGTGGCGTCCATCCACGAGGACTCAGCATGGGGCAGAGCCTGATCCTGCCACTCCACTTGGTCAGCGCTGGTCACCTGCAGCTCGAAGTTCGGCGGCAATTCCACCACCAGCTCGCCCAATTGCGTTGGGTTTTGCGATGGCAGCGTGGACACCAGCTCGAAGCCGAGGCTCACCGTGGACGTTTCCTCAGGTACGCTTTTGCTCCAGGCTAGGTCAAGGGCTGTCATAGGAAGCCCCTTCTGAATTTGAAGGCCAGGGGCTTCCATTGCCGCGTCGAGCACTTCCAGATCAGGGCTAATTATCCTTATGAAAAAAGAATTGTCACCGTTGACCACCTGAGGCGGCGTACTAGTGACGGCGAAGGCATGCCGCCCAATCGGGATGGGGTCGCTGACCTGGACCTCCAAGATGCCGGTACCCATGGTGCAAACGAAATCCCCTGTGAGCCCCAACTGCTCGAAGAAAGCGCCGTCGCATTGCATGAAGAAACCAAGCGGAAAACCTAGCTGGATCCTGCCTCCTGCTGGGACCTGCGTGTGGACGATGAAGCCCACGACCATCAGGCCCGACATGTCTGGTACGCCAGAATAAACGACAGTGAAGCCTCAGGGCATGGCAGGCAATGCGAATTCCAGAAAGAGGGCGAGAGCAGAAAACAAAAGCTCGGAGAATTTCTGAGACACTCTCCCGGGCCTTCCGTTCACAATCCGCCAGGTAGCCCCTGGAAGGGCCGAGGGACCATAAAACCCGCCATCCCGTAGAAACCTTGGCCCAGGGGCTCCAGCTTCCCCGGTGCTGAATGGCATTCGGAGTTCGGCAGAGAGGGGAAGGAATCCAGGAGGTGTTGCTTGTTCGGTGCAACTGTCCGCTGGACCTGGGATCGTGCCAGTCGTCACGAGACATGGCATGGAAGCACCGAGGGCAACTGCTCGCGGGTGATCTCGCCATCTTGTCATCCCCCGTCTTTTCGTGGCGCCCAGGGAGCCTTGCATCGGGATTACTTCGAAGCCGACCGAATCGTTGCCCCAGCCCTGCTGCTCCCCGTGAGCGTCGAACACAGAAATGTACCAGCTTGGGTCTGCAACACGGACACTGTCGGCAACTGGGACGGTGACGCGGATGTTGATCCCCGACCTCGGTATCGATTCAATTTTATCCGAGGCCCCCGAAGTAACCCCGAAGTCCAATCAATCACGCTGCAAGAAATCACTCTACACCACTGGGTCAAAACCAAATCGATCGATCGCCCGGCCAGCGCAGATTGGGACCACAACAACCCGCGTCAAAAATGACAAAATCGTGCGGTGATCTGCCGAATCCTCGGGGACACTGTAGGCGCGTGAGACCCTTCCCCCCTATAGCCCACCCGCCAAGTCACGGACCGCGGATTTGAGAGGGGAAGGGCTACGGGCACGGCTTACCAGCCCCTACTGGGGTGGGTGGTTGAGCGTCCAAATTGTCTCTAGATGGCACTGGGAAGCCGCCAAGGAAGCCCAAGAAGCTCTCAAAACGACGCTAACGGCCCCAATGATGCACCATGCGAGTCCCGTCGAAGCCTAACTATACCCGCTAACTGTGCGACGTCCTGAAACAAATTTACTATTTGCGATGTCCACCCCCTGGCGACCCAATATGGCCTCCAGACATCCCAAATGCCCTCACACAACCTACGACGGGCTCCAGATAAGACCCGAAGGCAACAAAGATAGCCGCACGCGACCACCAGAGAGCACGGCCTGAGTGCCGTCAGAAGGCCTCCAGTACCCCCGACACGACCCAAGAGAGCTATCAGATGCCCCTGCGAGGCCCCAAGAGATGCTCCAGACATCTAATGCCATCCTTTGCGGCACGTGGTGCCCCCGCTTAACCCTCCCCAACGGGGCCGCGCCCCGTATTCTGATGTTCTGCCGCTGGTCGGCTACGCTACCACACCACCACAAGGGGCAACGTACCAACAAGCTTCAGCTCGCCAGGCAATTATGTGACCACTCTTGGGCCTCCTGCCTTCTTTTATTTCTACGGGATTACCTCTAACGGTCCAATCGCGGCATTGCCAAAGCCATCTGGAGCTCTGCGCTTGACATGCGTCGGGATCAACGCTGATGTAGTACGTGGCGGCTCACACGCTACGTCGACGCACTTCTTTTACCGACAAACATTCCAAAACAACGTAGCGGGTTAACGGCACGAGCTGCACACTCAACTTTACGATCACGGTATTCTAGGTCAGCCGCTATACTGTCAAGCAGTTTCGTATACAAGTGTTTCAAGGGCCCCTCAGCTTGTATTGATAACCTCGAGCGCTGACTTTGTTTATTTTTAAAATCACCACGGATGGCCATCGAGGTCCCTGATTCTGCGCAGCGACGCAAGCGTTGGCGTGACTATGTGAACTTACCTTTCGCATGCCATAATTTATCATGTGTGATATTTCCTGTGACGCGGCTCGTCTCACATTTCGCCTTGTGGCACGCCTGTGTAGTCAGTGATGTTCGATAACAGCGGCATTATGTTTTACTGGCGACGCAAATCAAGTTTGTCTATTGTGCTTATCCTTTGGTGGTGGAACCTTTCGCCCGCTGTCTAACTATGTTTCGCTTTGGCCTCATCTGCCTGCCTGTGTTTTTTCCCGGAAAAGGCGCCGGCCCAAGGTTCTCTTCTAGGATGGTAATCTGTCCCCGGTGCCATGCGGGAGATGGGCTGGCGGAATTCCGCTCGATAACAAACGAGGTAAAGTCCAATACAGCGTGAAAAAATGCGTTTCGCGCGTGCCCGCTCGAGGAAAGTCGACCCCCCATCTCGGATCCTCGATACATAACGGGGTCCGCGGACCACCGTTTTCCTTTGTAAAAAATAAAGGGCGGGGCACTTTTAGCAGAATCCTCGAAAAAAAACCGAAGTCTGGAGCCCCGACCGCGACGCGGAAAAGCGCCCCGCGCGCAGGAATTCCGAGGATGTCTCGTGCTGCGTCCCGCGCGCAGGAATTTCGAGGATGTCTCGACTAATTCGCTTGTTTTGCCAGGATGTCTTGGGATTTTGACAGGATGTCTCGAGCGAAACGCTTGTTTTTCATAATTTGTTGAAGATGTCTCGAACGAAACGCTGGTTTTGAAAAATTCGGTGGTGTCTCGAGCGGGGGCCTCGTGGGTGGGCAGACTGCAGAGGATGTCTCAAGCGAAATGCTTGTTTTCACGTCCCGCGTGAAAACGCGTGGTCTCCTAACGCCTCAGAGCGGGACAAGCGTGAAAACACGTGGTCTCCTAAAGCCTCAGAGCGGGACAAGCGTGAAAACACGTGGGTTCCTAATGCCTCAGAGGCTGCCCCAGGAGGCCCCAGGAGCCCCCCCCCCCCCAGTTTAGAGTTGTTTGATGATTTCTCTGGCGAAACGCTCGTTTTCCGGGATTCAGAATGAACATGTTCACCCCAAGACAGCCCTAAAACCTCGCCCAGACAGGCATTTCCAGCAAAGCTGAAAGATATAGTGTGGATCATTTCTCATTCACACCATGACAGAATAATCCATAATGCTCAGGCCTGCAGCATACTGAAACAATCATCTCGAGGCGCGAGCCTTCCAAGCACCTCTCGCACCAGCGGTTTGCATCAAATTAGCGAGCAGCGCAACTGGCTCGAGGGCGGAAGAGGGTGGGCGGACTTGAGCTGCACGGTGGGCCGAGGGGTATTCACGTCTCTGACTATACACACCCCAAGACAGCCCTAAAACCTCGCCCAGACAAGCATTTCCAGCAAAGCTGAAAGATATAGTGTGGATCATTTCTCATTCACACCATGACAAAATAATCCATAATGCTCAGGCCTGCAGCATACCGAAACAATCATCTCGAGGTGCGAGTCTTCCAAGCACCTCTCGCCCATACCCGCATTACGTACTGGCGGGCCCGTCAACACTTTCTTGTAGCGGGTCACCGAGGCGGACGCTGCCCAGCGGCCGCGTCGCTGAATCTCCTTCCACGTCCGGCGACCTTGGGCCTTGATGTTCGAGGCTCAGTTGTGCTCGAAGACGTGAGGGCACGCATTGAGGGACGTGTAGCCCAGGCGGTCTGTGCTGCGCTTGACCGCGCGCTCGAACTCTGGCAGGGTGAATGCGAATAGCCTCTGAAGGTAGGGCGCCTTGGGCTTGAAGAAGAGGTTTGTCACTCTCGCCAGCCACGGATGCGCCGCGACTCTGATCAGCGTGCTGTCGTCCTGGCCGCTTGCCTTTGTCGTCTCGTGCCAGTTGGAGGGTGCGATGACTGCGCCAACGTGCGCGCCGGGCTTCGCGGCCGGCGCGGGCGGCAGGATCTGGCACTGTCGGAGCTTCACGTTCCCGAAGGGCCAGGGGTTGGCGCCCATCTCGAGCACCACCGCGGCGCCCAGGAGCGGCGTGATGCGCTCCACCAGGTCAAGCGCGATGTTGTCTACGATGATGTCGGTCGCCGGGAACCGCAGGCGCCTGTACTCGTAGAAGGTGCTGCGGCCCTCCCACGTGTCGAAGCCGTCGTCGAACGGGTCCACGAGGTACGGGGACAGGGAGTCGTCGAGGCAGCTCAGCGGCTGCAGGTCGAGCATCTTGCCCACTCAGATCTCGAGCTCGTGCGCCGCAGCCGCTTGAGGGTGTCGTTCGTCATCGTCGCCATGACCAGCGTGTCGCGCCTCGGGGCCCGGAGGGGCCCCCCGTGGCGCGCCGTCGACAGCTGGCGAGGCCGCCCGCTGCCCGGCGGCGGCTGCCTGCCAGTGAGCGTGGGCCCGCCAGCGCTGGGGGCGTTTGTCCTGACCGAACTGGATGGCGGGGTCTGCCCCGAGGAAGTCGTCGGCGGCTCTGCAGGCGTCGCCGACGAACGTGATGCCCTCGCTGCGTACTGCCACTTCACTAGGCGTCGGCTGACGGCCCGCCGCCAGGAGGAGCCCCTGTCGGAGCTCCTGAGGGTCGAAGTCGGCGGCGTGGGCGAGCGCTTCTCGGGGAAGAGCGGTTGCCATAATGTCAGCCCAGCATGGGCCCAACTGTGACGGATATGCGGCAGCTTGGGGTGTGAGGTGCCCGCGCAGCATGACCGCGTGCTTGCGCGAGACGCGGGGTCGCCCCCCAGGGCCCTCAGGGCCCCCACGTTCGTCAGGATCCGAGCAGGCTTCCGATAGGGTGCCCCGAACATACTCATATCGAAATGCACCTCGATGACGGCGGGCAACCTTCGAAGTCGGGCGACGGGTTCGAAACTCCATAGCCTCGAAGTCCTGGGATTCTCGACGCTCCAGTAGCACCCCCTGCGAGGACAGTGCGTGACAGAGGGTGGCCGTGAAGAGTGCGAACTCGACCCTAGCCTTTCCTTAGCCCGTGCTCGTGCGTGGTTCTTGATTCCCCGGCGTGCGATACTCCAGACGGAACAAGGCGTCCCAATATGTACATATAGTAGTCGGCCGCTGCGGGCCAGATCCAGGATAAAGGGCAGCGTGCTCCTGCAAGACAAATCGAACTCCCAACCGTCCCTTATGTCCACGGCGTCGGCGAACGGAAGCCCAACTTCTCTGCAGGCCCGAGTCAACCGCCCCAGACCACCAAAGAGCTCCACACAAAAAACTGACTTACCAGGCTCGCTCTGAATTGTCGGGCAGGAAGCAGATGATAGCGATGCCGACGATGGAGGCGACAGAGAGGAGGGAGGTTGTGTCTTGCGCCCCTCGGAGCACGGCCGATCGACAGTCAAGCTTGGCGAGGCGACGCCCAGCTCGCCCGACGAGTGCTCCGCCCCCGCCGAGCGCTTGGTGTCCCAGCGGCGCGAGTCCTGGTCGCTAGGGTTCCGATCCGTCTCGATGTAGCGGAGCCGCCATGCGATCTGGCCGCCGAGGCGGTAGGCTGCCGCTCGCCGACACAGCGACTGCAGCCCTGCACTGGAGCGGCCCTTCTCATAGGCCCCCACGGTCACCTGGCTGTCGCTGAGGGTGAGCAGCTTCGAGCCCAGCCGTCCCACCGTGCGGCAGCGACGCCGTGGGCCCATCAAAGCCACCCGGGCCCCCTTCAGATTGATGTGCTCCTCCTGCCAGCGCCAGCGGTCCGCCGCGACGAGCTGGCAGCGATGGCGCCCAGTCCAGCCGTCGGCCAGGCGGGAGATCCCCGCGCCCAGGTCGATCTTGACTCGAGGGCGCCGCGGCGGCGCGGCCGCCGAAGGTGACCCGAGGCGCAGGTCGTCGGCACGGGCCCGAAGGGCCTGGCCGAAGGCCGCGCGCGGCCCAGCCGAGAGGCCGGGCGCGTCGCCCCGCGCGTAGCTGAGGCCGTCGGTCATGTGGCCCTCCTGCACGGGGATGTCGCGGTAGCGCCAACGCTCTCTCCACCTCCAGGCCTCGCGCAACTCGCTGGGCTCCGCCTTCGTCACGTGGAGGGCGTAGCCCCGGGTGGAGGAGTCGCCGCAGTAGACCTCGTTGGAGAAGGTGGTGCCCAGGTCGGCCTCCATCAGGAAGAGAAATTCATCGCACAGCGGATCTCGGACTTCACGGACGGCCACGCGCGCCTGGGTACCTCCAAGGCCTCCTCGATGAAGCGGTAGCAGGCGTTCAGCGCGGACATGGCCTCCGGGCACAGCTGGTTCAAGTTCACCACGTGGCCGAGCCAGCACTGCAGAATGTGCCCGTGCAGTTTGCGACGGCGCAGCAGGGCATGGCCGGCCAGGTGGGTCCACCAGACGCGGCGGGAAACATGTCGTAGCCGTCGGTCGCGCCAATGGCGCACCAGGCCCAGCGACTGCATCTCGAAACCGTCGCGAGGCCCCACGTCGAAAGGCATGTTATCTTCACAAAAACTCTTCTCAATCTCATGCATCTGCTTCCCGGCGTCACCCGCGCAGCCACCCATGACCTGCGCGTTGTCCACGTACACGCCGGCCACGCACTTGCCAGGCTTCAAAACTGGAGCCGGCTGCATCTCCCGCATGATCTGGTCAGCCCCTCCGTCCAAAGTGCGCTCAACACGGTAGGTGACGGCTTCGTTGGCGAAGAAGAGGGCCCACGACCAGCCCACGCAGACAGCGGCCATGCACGGGTAGAGCACCTCGCCGTCCACGACCTTGGTCTCCGCCCCCTCGGCGTCGCCCCAGATCATGGCGGGCCGGCACTCCATGTCCTCCAGCTCGTAGGTGTCGAAGTGGTCCTCGAAGCCGAACCAGGAGGCGAGCTCGGGGACTGTGTAGTTATAGAAGCAGCCCCCGACGTCGCCCTCCTCCCCGCGCGGGCTCGCCGCGGGCCCCGAGCCGAGGCCGCCGAAGCCGGAGGCCTTCAGCCTGGGGACGGAGAGGTCCAGGTCGGCCATACAGCGCGAGGACCCAAGTCGCGTGGTGGGCGGCGGGCGACGTGCCCGATTGGCCGCTCGGGCGTCGATGATCAGCCTCTGGGGCCCATCCTTCTTCTCGACCACGAAGATGCCCGCGCGCCTCTTCAGCCGCCGGCGCCAAGTCAGCAAGCCCTGCTGGCGCAAGCGCTGGTGCAGCCGCCTCCTAGGTCTCGCGAGCGCCGAAGCTTGGGGCCCCAGTAGGCCGAGAACCCCGCGCACTCGGACCGATCCTTCTCAAGCTCCGCCTCATCCATCTCGATCAGATCGGCTGAGTGTCTGAGGTAGCCAAGCGCTGCAGGAGGGAGCTCGCGGCGAATGGGCCGCACGTGAACCTTCCGATGCAGGTTCTTGACCTTGTCAAACTCGAAGCAGGCCAAGTTCTTGGGCTCCATGCCGCAGTGGTCTCTGGAGTCGAGGATCTCCGACAGGGATGACTCCTCGGCGAGGTCAGCAGGGCGATCCCCGTACGCCTCGACCCGCCGGGCGACGTTCTGGAGCATCCAGCGCTGCACGGCGGCGGGTCGGAGGGGCCCCTCAGGTGGAAGATCACGCCCCCGGGCACGACGCGAATTCAGGTTGGCGGCGGCGAGCTGGTTCAAAGCCCGAACCGAATCAAAAACTTGCCGTGGCCGCGCAGGATCACATGCATCGCCGAGGGCAGCGGCATCTCGAGGCAGAGGGAACGGATCTCCATGCCGTCGGTCTCGCGCCCTGACCCCTCCGGACGCGGAGGTGGCGAGCCCGCGTAGATGTCGGCTGCGGGGGGGCCTGGTCGACGCCCGGGCTGCCGGCGCCGGCGCCCCCGGAGCCCCGGGGGGCGTCATCCCTCGATGCCGGCGCCGCCCCCGGCGCCGCCATCCTTCCCCTTCTTCTTCGTCCTCGGGCCCTTGCCGTCGCCCTCCCCGCCCTTCTCGCCGTCGCCCTTCCTCGTCTGCGTCCGCCCCCCACGATAGAGCCGCTCTTGCTTCATGATGGCGGTCCTTTCCCTGAGGCGGTCGGTGATCCACGAGATGAACCTCGAGGTCGAGGCGCGACTCACGGCGTTGACCGGCGTGGACAACCATACGTCGAGGCCACTGTAGTCGGGGAGCCGAGGGGTCCGTTCCACCGCTATCATCGTCTGGGTCAGCCAGCGCGCGACCGACCCGGCCGACGCCATCATCGAGAGGTCGACTGGGTCCCAGGGGCGCATGCGACGGATCACCTCGCACCTGCATCGATGCACGTGGTCGACGGCCGACCACTTGCCTACGCCGCTGAGGCGCTCCCACTCCGATCGGTACGAGGTCATGTTGCCCGGCCCTGCCCCGACGTGGTCCAGGAGCGCCCTCGCGCTCCTGACGTCGGCTAAGAGGACGCCCCTCTGCTCGGTGTCGCGCCAGAGGGCGTCCGTCTCCGTCAGGTGGAGGACACTCTGCCCCGTGTCGCCCGCGTGGTCGCCGAGCGCGTGGATGTCGCCGAGGCCGGTCACCGCCCCCTCCTTGAAGTCCGTCAGGCCGCTCGCCGCGTTCTTCTGCACCAGGAACCCCCCGCCGTCCAGCGCCGCCGCGTCTTTCGTGTCGACGCGGGCGCCGAAGGCGTCGTCGTCCATCAGAGCCGCGTCCACGACCTCACAGAACCTCACGGAACGTGCCTCCGCGATCACCTGGACCGTCCGATCCACCGCGCCGACCTGGCCGATCCCCAGCAGCTGGCCCTGCATCCTCGCCCTGCGTTGGTAGCTGGCCGACGCCGCGTCCTCGATCGGGTCGCGGGCGTAGACCTGGCAGGCCAAGTGCGCTGGGAACGGCGCCCGCCTTTCTAGCATCCCGTGCCGGGCGTCCAGCAGCATGACCGCCCCGAGCCCGAGGTCCGGGGTCAGCGCGATCCTGATGTCCCCGTCCACGCGGATCAGGAGCGCCCTGCGATGCCAGTGGAACCCTCGAAGGCCGCGTTCGTACCTCATGAGGACCTGCGAGTCCGCGATGTCCAGGGCGAAAGTGTCAGCCATGGCGTCGGCTCGGGGTGCTCGGCGCGGCGTCGCCCCCACGGGAGCCGCTGGCGGCGGCCGGGGCTCTGGCGAGGCCGCCGCCGGCTCCCCGCGCCTTGGGTTCCTCTCGGGCCCACGTCCGCGCCCACCGCAGCGGTTGCGCCGACGCCAGCCAGCCAGGAACCCCAGCGCCCCAGCGCTGGAGGTCGCCAGGCCGAGCGTCAGCAGCCCAACGAGCAGCAGGCACCGGAGCATCGGGACCTCCGCCTGGAGGTTCACGACCTCGCCCTGGAGGTCGATGATGCGTCGGAGCTCCAGGTCACAAGAGCAGGGGCAGCCTTCCTCCGCGCCGCAAGATGGCGGCGGCGGCGGGCGCCAGCCGGAGGCCACGGGCGTCGCCCGCCCCCTCGACCAGCAGGCGCCCAGCGTCGCACTCCAGGCGGCCGCGAACGTCGCCCAGAGCAAGGGCGGTCCGTCCATGCGCCGCCCGCGCGGCGGGCCTCTCGGACTTGAGCCGCGCGGTTGCAGAGGCACGTGCGGGCATGCGCTGGCGGGCGAGTAGTGGCCGAGGGGTATTCACGTCTCTGACTATACAAAGTTTTTGCGTGCCCGCTCGAAGTTTACGAAGGATCGTGGCCCTGGGAGCGCGGACGCAGCGTAATTTACAAAGGGTCGGGGCCCTGGGAACGCGACCCCAGTGTAACTTATGAAGGATCGTGGCCCTGGGAGCGCCGGCGCAGCGTAATTTACGAAGGATCGTGGCCCTGGGAGCGCGTCCCGTGGCACGTCCATTGGCACGTTCCGTAGCGCGTCCCCTTGGCACGTCCCGCAGTGCGTTCCCATGGCACGTTCCCTGGGACGTCGCCTGGCGCGCCCCTTGGGCCGGTCCGCGGCGCGTCCTCCTGGCACGTTCCCCTGTCAGTTTGCTCTGGGGCAGCTACTGTGTGCTCAGGCAGCTCGAGCTTAAGATCCAGATCAGATCGGTCAGGACTCGGACGCAAAGGGGGACTCGATCCACAACGCTATACAGCACAATCGCGGCATGGCACATCGCAGTTCAGCACGGTACAGCACAGCGCAGCCGTCGGCACGGTACATCAAGATCGATACACTCAGCATTGCAACTTGTCACGTTCCCTGGCGCGTTCCGTGGCGCGTCCCGCGGCGAGTCCCCATGGCATGTCGCGCGGCGCGCCCTCTGGTGCGTCCCGTGGCACGTCCACTGGCACATTCCGCAGCGCGTTCCCTTGGCACGTCCCGCGGTGCGTCCCCATGGCACGTCCCTGGCACGTCGCCTGGCGCGTCCCTTGGGATGTTCCGCGGCGCGTCCTCCTAGCACGTCTCCTTGCCAATCAGCTCTAGGGCAGCTAATGCGCGCTCAGGCAGCTCGACCTTCCGACCCAGATCAGATCGGTCAGGACTCGGATGCAAAGGAGGACACGATCCACAACGCTATAGAGCACAATCGCGGCATGGCACATCGCAAGTCAGCACGGCGCAGCACAGCACAGCTCTCGGCACGGTACATCAAAATCGATACACTCATCATTGCATTTGCCCGTCGCCCAATCAGGTGTCTTTGAAACGTTGCTACGTCTCCCGTTTCTTTATTCCTTTCCGGGTTCGTGGGTCGATCATGTCCCCCGAACAGTGCTTGCACTTAGGTGCTCTTGCTTCTGTTTTGAGGATTTGGGCTGGTGTGCCGCTCTGGCGCTCTGGCGGCTATGAAATCGCCGCCGCGCCCCGTCGCCGCCTCGTCAGCGCCGGTCGATTTGGCAGGTGTGCCGCTCTGGCGGCTATGTAATCGCCATCGCCGCTCCGTCGCCACCTCGTGGCCGCCCATCGTCTTGGCCCGTCTGCCGGTCTGGCGGTTATGTCGTCGCCGTTGCCGCCCTGTCGCCGCTTCGTCGCTGTCCCGTCACTGTTTTGGTTCTCCTTTCTAAAAAGAAAAAAGACTCTACCCCCCCCCTCCCCCGGCGTTATCCGCCCCCCTTTCGGGTACGTAAATCATATATGAATCGGGCCACATGTCCATCCTAAATATGAATTTACACTATCCCAGGGGGGCCGGTATCGGCCCCCCTTCGGTTCCCATGTAAAAAACTATACGCGGATACATGGTTGGAAATAACATAAGACTTTCTCGCGAACCCCTTACAAAACATGCAACGAAATGCGCGCGCGCGCCGTCGCGCGCGCATGCCGAAATCCTTCAAAAACCTTCGGTGTCGGAAGGATTGTGCAATCGAGTTCCCAAAAAACCTACAAACAACACAAGGTTTCGCAACACTGATTTGCTAAAAAAAGCTTACGCGCGAGCTCTTGCGACATCGTACGAAAACCATGGGTTTTCTAAGATTTTCACAATATGCTACCACACGGGCTTCGCGCGCGCATGTCGAAATCTGTCGAACGCCCCTGCGCGTGCGCCGTCGCGAGAACCCTCTGCAACAAAAACAAGACTAAGTGCAGACGCGCGCGTCGTCGCGCGCGTACGCCGAAATCCTTCAAAAGCCATCGGTTTCGGAAGGATTGCAAAATCGTGTGTCCAAACAACCTACAAAAACGCACGGTTTCGCAACACGGATTTTCAACAAAAGCGTGCGCGCGCGCTCTTGCGTCGTCGTCGTCGTCGTCGTCGCCGTCCTCCCTCCTCCCGCGTCGTCGCCGTCGTCGCCTACGTCGTCCTGTGTTTTTCCTCGTGTTCGTCGTCGTCGTCCTCTTTGGCGTCGCGGTCGCTTCCGTCGTCGTTGTCGCCGTGGTCGTCCTTCCTCCTCCTCCCTCCTCGTCGTCGTCGTCCGTCGTCGGCGTCTCGTCGTCGTCCCTCCTATTTCGTCGCCGTCGTCGTCGTCGTCGTCGTCGTTGTCGTCGTCGTCTTCCCGCCTCCCTCGTTGTTGTCGTCGTCGGCGTCGCCGTCCTTCTTCCTTCTTCGTCGCTCGCGTCGTCGCCGTCCTCTCTCCTCCCTCGTCGTTGTCGTCGTTGTCGCCGTCGTCGTCCTCCCTCCTCCCTCGTCGTCGTCTTCGTTGGCGACGTCGTCGTCGTCGTCTTCGTCGTCGTCGGCGTCGGCGTCGTCTTCGTCGTCTTCTTCTACAGCTTAGAGCTCCTACAAAGCTGGCTGGTCCTATAATAGCTCATGCGCTACCCACTCAATTGCTCTATCCAATGCAATCATCTCAGCTTGGAACACCGTCACGTCTACTGGCATATGCACCCCTTCTGCGTACCACGGCTGATACGAAGCCGCCCCCTCGAAGTTGCCGAAAATCACAACAATCACCGAAGCTGCTGCGCAAGTTGCCGACCTCCGCCCCCCGTCGCTCTGGATCACGATGTTGGCGCAATTCGGTTTCAGCTTCGTGGTGCACCGTCTGCTCCAGGAACATCCTCTGTCCATAATCAAGTCGGCAAGGCCATCAGCCCCTTTGTTGTGCTTCCTTGATATCCACTGCACCGGGTCGTCGTCAAATCGGGGTGGTCGCCAACCTTTCCCATACAATGCACGCAGCCTTGTGGCCATGCGATCGAAGACCGGTTTGTCTGAGCCCACGTGGAAAGCAGAATGTCCACATACCACCTCTGACAACATTTTCGAGTCGCAGAGAAATTGAAAACATTTCTCCCATCGGTCCCATCGAAGCAGAGCAGCTGGCGTATCTAGTAGTCCAGCGGGATTCGGATCGTCGCCTGAGAATCTCAATCTTTGTTTCTTCGACGGGCGCTCCTCGGTAAGGTCCCAAACTTGCTTCGTAGAGCGCGATGGGATACCGAACGAAAGGCTTTCGCCCCCGAAGACCGCCTTCGCGAAAACGGGGAACTCCGACTGCCAGGCGTGCTTGCCCATGTTGTCCCAGATATCCCTCCAGCACAGGCCGTGCACTCTGACCATGAGATCTTCCCAAGAAGCCGTGTGCCCTCCAGGTCGTTGTGTCCATCCCAAATTGCTGCGAGCCCCCGGGCGCGCAAGTTTGAAGAACTCCCAAGACAGCCTGGATCGGTAGAGGCGTCCCCATTTCAACGGTTGCCGGCCTCGGCCGGTACATATGTCAATCTCTCTCCCTGCTGCTTTGTGGTATGCTTCTAACACTCGGATGTGGATCGGTCGTACGCCACGCCGCTGGAACCAATACTTCATGGTATCAGAGGTGCTCTTCAAATACGTGTGGTAAAGCACGACGTGTTTCAACCAACGTAGTCTGCAAACCCTGCGAAGCCATTTCAGTTCCCAAGTCCATAGGTCCTGCAGTCGTCGTCGTCGACGTCGTCGTCGTCGTCGGCGTCGGCGTCGTCGTCGTCGCCGCCGTCGTCGTCGTCGTCGTCGGCGTCGTCATCGTCGTCGTCGTTGTCATCGTCGTCGTCGTCGTCGTCGGCGTCAGCGTCATCGTCGTCGTTGTCGTCGTCGTCGTCGTCGTCGTTGTCGGCGTCGGCGTCGTCGTCGTCGTCGTTGGTGTCGTCGTCGTCGTTGTCGGCGTCGTCGAAATCGTTGGAGACGTCGTCGGTTTCGTCGTAGTCGTTGTCGGTGGCGTCGTCGTCGTCGTCGCTGTCGTTGTCGGCGTCGCTGTCGTTGCCAAGTGCCATTTGGTACCCACCGTCATGGTCTTAAGAAATTTTGCGAACCAAGTTGCGGGTGGGTGGGTGGGATGTTTGCGCGAGCAGTGGAGCGCGAACAGAAATTATTCCACAACATAGACTGCACCACATACGTTCTCCTTTCTCCAACAAAAACTAAGATCTAGCACCCCCGCGGATTACCGATATACTCTGGGGTTGGGCATTTTTGATATGACTTGCTCATGATAATTATGAATTCGTACTATCCCAACCAGACCACTTTCGACCCCCATCATCCCTGACAAATGATGAGATTCGCGCGCGCTTTTTATCTATAATCCGCCAGCCCCCTTGCGGGGCCATCAGGCTGCGAGGATTAAGCTTGCTGCTCCCTGCGCCAGTTCCAGTTTCCAGTTTCCATTGTTACAGTGCTGCTTTCTGCTTCCTACTGTAAATTGTTACTGTCCGCGCGAGGGGGGGAGCGGAAAACTGCCCTGGTTAGCACCCCCAGGGAGGGTTCTCAGAATTCCTGGGAGGTAAAAATTATCACCCCTCACGCAGATCGGCGGGGTCAGGGACCAAAAAACATAAGGAATTTGCAACATGTCTGAAATTCTGTGGCACCCCTCACGCAGATCGGCGGGGTCAAGGTCAACAAAAAAAAATGGATTTGCCACATTTCTAGAAATCCGGTGGCACCCCTCACGCAGATCGGCGGGGTCAGGGTCCAAAAACACAAGGGATTTGCTAAATTTCTGAAATCCGGTGGCGCCCCTCACGCAGATCGGCGGGGTCAGGGTCCAAAAAGACAAGGGATTTGCCGCATTTCTGAAATCCGGTGGCACCCCTCACGCAGATCGGCGGGGTCAGGATCCAAAAACACAAAGGATTTGCCACAAAGGATTTGCCGCATGTTTTAAAATCGGTGGCACCCCTCATGCAGATCGGCGGGGT